TCCTACCAATCAATCGACTCATTCCCTTGAGGAGATTAGAATTACTAGGCCATAGCTTAAGACACTCGCAGGAAAATATGATATTCTCGTCCATGAAATGGTCCCCTGACGGTAGGAAGAAAGGAACCCCTAAATACTATTGGTTGGCAAAATGTTTGAAGGATATGAACCTGATCAACCTCTCGTTTGCAGATTTCATGGCACTCAGCAAAAACAAGAAACACCTAAAAGAACATCTACAATACATGCTAAAATATGGCTTAAATTAAAATAGGAACCGTTCTCTTTTTTTTTCTTTTCTTGCAATGGCTAGAACAAAGCATGTTTGATGATGATAATAATCTGGACAATACAACTTTCCTCATATGAACCCACAACTTTTTTCTTCTGGACACACGATATCGGCGATAACGACAACAGCTACAACAACAACAAATAGAATAATGGATAATGATAACGAACACTGGTTATGATAATAACGCAATAACACCGACGAACCCAAATATCATTTGCACAGCACGAACAAGGTCTACAGGACACACGATATCGACACACCAAACAACAAACAGGGAAGGGACTCATCGTGCAAACTTAACTTAAACTCTCAATACTCACCAAGATATAAGAGTTATTATTTTTTTGTTGCCTCACTAAATAACCATATCAGGATTCAGGTACATTATTACATGACATTATATTTCTTAACACTATTCTGCTGGTAACGGAACTAATACAACACCACTCGTACTTCTCCCTTCTTCACTTTGCTAGCTGGCTACATAGTGATACCGTCCATTATAATAAAACGGGTAGACATCATGTATGGGATCTATATACTAGTGAAAATACATAATGCACGCGTCAACTCCTGGTGGGTGATGAAATTGCACTTCGTGCAATTGCGTAGTAATGAATGAACGAATATTATAGATTAATTTATCATAATAACATACTAGTATATAATATTTTATTAGAATTTTTTTTTATATTTTATATTGTGGTAAATCAAGACATTTAGAGATTTTTTTTATTTACAATTTGATATACCATATTTATTTTTACTATAAAGAGTTTTTAAGATATAGCAATTTAAATATTTTACAGATTTGAAAGTTGCTATTCTTTTACATCTTTGAGGCCCTATATTTAGGGAACCAGGACCTAGCTAAACTTTCTCATACCTATCTAAATAAATTCATAAATATTTAGCAATTTTATAGGAGTCAGCTGAATGTGGCTACTATAAAGATCATAGAATCAAAAAATTTAAAAATATTTTGACATAATTGATTTTTGAATTGAAATTTAAAATCAATATTTAAGACTCGGCTTAAGGTGTCATTATTTTTAGTATTTGTTTATTGACTGGACTGAATGATGAATTAGTATAACATTACTGATTGGCTAACCCAGACATAGTGCTTTTATAATATTCTATATATGATGCCAATCTTTGCAATTTTATTTACTATTGATATAAATTTCAGAATTAATGATATCAGAAATTTGTTTGACTTTGCACTTAATTTTATTTAGCTTGTAATTTAGTTACTTTATTTGTGGCTGGCAAAATTGATTGAAAAATTATAAAGGCATTAAATATTAGCACCAAATGTAATATTTTTATAACAAATGTAAGTTTCTATAATATAGCTTAAGAATCTTTATGGCCTTCTTGTACTGACTTCTAGGTGGAAATTCTTAAACATTTTTTTTTAAAAAGTCCTAAAAAAACCATGCAATGGAAGATTATGAATGATTATCTTCTTCTAACATTATTACTTTTAAAAACTAAAAGTATTCATTACACAGCATATCACACATGCTAACAAATCATGTAATGAAAGATCAAGTATGATTTTCCTCTTTCAAAATTATTTACCTTTGTAATAAAGCTCCTTTCCTTGCAACTATAGTATGTCAAAATAACACATTAAATTCACTCTATTTTTTCTTTATACTAATTACTACTCAGTGGCGTAGCCAGAATTTACCGATGAGGGTGGGGGGGGGGGGGGGTTAAAAAAATTTATGGGGGCTTCGCCCTCAAACCCTATTTTTAAATTTTGTTAATATTATGTGCTTTATTAGTGTCAAATCTAGTGTTATTAAACGGCTCGTTTTGAGCCGATTTTTAAAAACGGCTAACTCAATATTTTAGCCAGAAAAATATTGACTAAGCCTTGAGATTTTGCTAATAGATGTTCAAACCTCTGTTCCTTCTACAAACAAAATCTTCAGGCTTGCTTAATATTATTCAAGATGAAATATTGAGTTAATCGTTTTTAAAAATCGGCTCAAATAGAGCCGTTTAACAACACTAGTCAAATCAGAATATTAGTAACAGAATTTTGGCCAAATTTATGATTAATAAGTGGCTGGAAACATTATTCTAAAAATTTTATCAATGTTTAGTAAAATGTAAATTAATTCATCTGGAAAAAATCCCCCCCCCCCAAACCTTCCATTTTTTATGATCACTCAATATATCTTATTGAGTGTTAAAAATAATTATTTTAATTAAATTTTAGAAAATTTCATTATAGATCTTATTTATTGTTAAAATACTATAGTATAAATAACATCCCTTATTTATTTTAATAATAAAATACAATAAAATAAATTTTAAAATGTTTAAATTTTTTATAGATTATTATATTAAAAATTTATTGTATATAACTATATTTAAAAAAATATAATTCAATATAATATAAGTAATTCTTGTACAGTATTTTAAAAAAATATAATTTAACAATAAATGAATCTTCATATAGCAAATGCAATACTTTTATTAAAAATAGGCACAGAATCTAAAGTGCAATTACACATGGAAAGGGCCTGCAAAGTGCAAAGCGTTTTTTGGTCCCAAAGAGTATTCTATTTTATCAAGATTTTTATATCAAAATACGACATCACAAAATAACATATCATACGATCCTGATAAATCATCAGAATAAAATGAGATTTTCTTAATATCCTCTCGCGTTTCAAGTGTAAAACAATTCAGACTCAACTGGCAGAAGAAAATAAAAGCTTTTTAAAATAAAATTGTGAATAATAAATCTTTCATTTAATTGAAATAAAAATGTATCAATAAGGGGAATAAAATATTTATTTTATAAAAATCCTCAATTGTAGATGCATCAATATTTAAGCGATTGGACTGTCTAAAAACTACTCTAGGTTTAAAAATTTCAATCAAAAACATATTAGCGATCTCTTTTACTTTCTCATATATTTCATGAAATTTTCATCTACATTATCTCTGATATTTGTTAATATTTCAACATTATCCTTTGCCCTATTCATAACTCCCTTAAATCCAAATCAATTTTATGTAGCATTTTGCTAAAATCATATGTTTAAATTAAGAAAATATATACACGTTGAATTGATATTAAAAATGTGGCTTCGTAATAGCCTGCAAAAGATTTTCAGCATCTGCGAAATCTTTTACTTTGTTTGATATGTAGGATTCGAGCACTGCAAAAATAACTTCATATAATTAGATGAAAAGTCTCACTGATTGTTGTCTTTCAATAAATAGTTAGGCAAAATCTTTTTAGTTTTTTTTGATTATTTGAATCAATATCATAAACGTTCGGTTAAAAGGCTGCCTCTTCTTGTGTGGTGTAAAAAAGTCACAAACCGACAATATTGTTTCTATATTTTGAAAAATATATTAAAATTATAAAAAGTTATCTATAATACATAATAAAATCTAATAAATTCCAATTAAATTAAAATATTTTTAAACTGTTCCGGATGTCTTGAATTTCGCATGCCTCATATATCATAAAATTTAGGCAATGTGAACTAGTGAACATATAGAGTTGTGCTATAAAGCTCTCTAATTCTTGATTGCACCCCTTTAATGTGACCACTCATCGAGGGAGCTCTATCATATCCTTAGATTTAAATCTAGTGGATGCTAAAAATTTTTGGTTAACGTCTTTGATTAAGTGAATAAATTGAACAAAGTGTTTCTTCAATTTGAAATTACCTGATTCCATTAAATAAACCTTACTGCTATAGATAATTGCTCTATGTTACCAACATCCGAAGTCTCAACCGCCAAAACACTAAAAAATGGTGATGCTTTCACTTTTGAAGAAATTTCTTTCAATATGAACCTATTGCATATGGTTATTATTTCATTTTGAATACTTGGACTAAGGTAGGGTAGGTGGCATTTTTAGCAGAGCTTTCTAAAAGCTTTATATATTTATTATAATTATTACATAAAAGTTTCAACAATTCCTTGAAAATACCTTCATTATGAGAAGAGTATGTAAGTGTGAAGGGGCCAGCAGATATTCTGTAAGCTCTTAATGCTAAGCCCTGCCTCCCTAACCAAATGATTGCATCAATTATAATAATTATTCTTGCTCTGTTGGTTGTAACAATATCAAAATTTTTTTTATTCAATAAATTAGATATTGATATCTTTTGATTCATAGATATGGCTTTTAAAGCATCCGATATCTCACAAAAATTGAGATGGTAAATATTTTAGTTCATATAATTTTTAATATATATTTTTAAACCATGTGATCATTTAAAATTGAAAATTCTTATTTGTTTTTTTAAAATATATTTCATTTTGATATTGTATATAGATTTATTTATAAATTGAAACCTTTTTTTAAATAAAATTATTCGCAATAGGGAAAAAAATTTAAAAAAATTTTTTTTGGAGGTTATGGTGGGGGGGGGGGGGGGGTTTAAATCCCAAACATCCCCCTTGTCTATGCCACTGACTATACTTATAAAAATCTCGTAGGAAATTTTTATACTACCTCTCCAACTTAAGTAAATTCTGGCTAAACCACTGATAATTACATGTGTATATTGATAAACCAACTCATAAAATGATAATGCTTAATTTATATTAATAAATTTAACAATAAAAATTTTCTATTATTAAAATTAAAATATTTTCCTAAATTATTATAATTTTCTATAAAAAAAATATATATAAGTTGCTATTAAAAACTTACAAAAATTCTTTAAAATCATTAGATGGCTTTAAATTCTTCCTAATTTCATAATCCTTGGATATGTATTTATATTGGCTTTGCTTATTATTCCTATATAGTTAATCAAAATTGGCATTTGTTTTTATTATACTGATATGCTCTTGGATAATATTCTTGACTATGTGAAGGATTCGCATAGTATGACTGATTATGATTAATATTATTGTAGCTATAAGAAACTTTATGATATCCACCATCCACATGATGGTGATCATAATTTTCTATAAAAAAATTATATTTTTATTATACAAATGATATAACTTGAATGTAAAAATTTACATTGGTTTCCATGATGACAATATCCTTGCATATAAAATTTACAAATTCTTGACATTTTTTTAAAAAAAATCCGACCTTACAATGAAAAGTTATCGTTAACTCATGAAAATTGGAAATCGGTACGAAACAGCGAAAATCAGAATAGCGAAAAATAAAAAAATGTTCCCATTGTGTATAACTCCACTAAAAAGTCATAAAATAATATTATATCTATTATTAATATATTTAGAATATATTAAATATGTTAATTTTTTCCAAATAAAGTTATTATCATGGTATTTATATATTGTCAATTTATAAATACTAATTTTTTGTATATGACATTAATAATGTATGGCCATTATATGAACTCTATCTTCTTTAAATATTATCAATAAAATACTAATATTTTGTTTATTTAGTGTATTTTTAATTAAATATAATGTTTAATATAAATTTTTTGTATATGACATTAATAATGTATGGCCATTACATAAACTCTATCTTTAAATATTATCCTTAAAATACTAATATTTTGTATATATATTGTATTTTTAATTAAATATAATGTTTAATATTAATTAATTTAAATATATTATATAAATGATATATACAAAATAACTTATAGACCAATAAATATGTTATTAATTTTTTCACAATTGTTGTTGCCTTGCCTAATATAATATGAAACATATTTAAATTCAAAAGATGGTATTTATATATTTTCAATTTAAAAATATTGATTTTTTGTAAATTTAATTTAAAAGCATGGCAAACAATATATCTTTCTTTCTTATAAAAATTTATTCATAGTAAATAAAAGGTTTTTTTTAATTATTTATATTTTAAATAATAACTTTTACATTCAATTTTAAGTATACACTGCATAGACAGATTGATCCTTTATATTTGCACTGAATATTATATAATATTATAATAACACAATCATAATACAATATGCATTCATAAAATATTAACAGTGTATCTATTGGAAAATGACAATCATCTAAGATAGATTTATTAATTATGTTTATTTAAAGGGTTGAAAAAAAGGAATATTATATTCATATAATAATAATCTTCAATAGCTGCTTTTCCTGCTGATTTATTATCATCTGCAAGCTGAATTATTTGCCACTAAGAAATTTAATTTAATATAATAAAAAAAAAAAAATCTATACTTCAGCAGAATTAAGCATGACCTCTGTATCTTCTTTTTGCATTTTAGGTTGACTGAATTAAATTTGGGCCTAAAATCATCTAAATTTCTAAAATCAATTGCTAAAAAAAACTGAATTGAATTTGTTCCTAAATTATTAAATTTATTTACTGTATCACATTAAATTATTAATATTTCATTAAAACTAATTATATACTTTTCTCATATCAAATGGGAACATTTTTAAAAATGTTCCCTGATTTTCGCTGTTTCGGTCTTCGCTATATCGTGCCCAGGCCGAAAAGTGCTGCTAGCACAGCTGATTTATTTGACTTTCTTTTTGGGCGTATAAATATCAATGACATATTATTATTATATGTCACTGATAAATATATTAAAAAATATCACGATGGTTACAAAAATAGATATTATTTTAAAAATCTTCCATTTAATCAACACATGAGGAAAAATTAAACACACTAAAATCAAGTCCAAACAAATAGTTTTATAATCCTCCTAAACTTTTTAAATTATATGCCCAGTCTGGCCTGAATATTTTTAAAATAGCTTTAATTCTAAAAAATTTAATATAAACTATAAATTAAATTCCCACTCACCGACTCTGAAGCCGACTCATCGAGTCGACTCATTCGGCTCATTGAGCTGCTCAATTTGAAATGAGTTTTGCGACTCCGACTTGAGTTCAGAGTCGTAAAAACTCGACTATTTAACAACACTACTCATTAGTCAAGAATTTTATAAAATCTTTAAACCTATATTTTCCCAAATTTTATAATTTTGGCCTTGACTTATTGCAGTTTTTTTAACTCATAATTTGGACCTATTTGAATGATTTTATCTAATGTTAAATTATAAAAATAAAGTTACGATTATTTTTATTACTAATGAAACATTTTTACTGTATAACATTTAAAGTGAAATTATTTTCTGATGATTTAATACGGAAAAATAATAAAATTCTTATATCTCATTATTTTCGGAGCTAATCTTAAATATTTAGTTAATGTTATGGAGGATATATAGATGACAAAAATGTATAGCCAAAATCTTAGATTAATTTCTTGAATATACACATCAAGATTTTGTATTTAACATATTATGACAAACAGTCACTAGGGGGGGGGCGCTGATGCTCGAATTACCTAAAGGATTTGAAGAGCCCCCTCAATATTTTCAATTTTTTTTATACCAAATGTAATTTTGAAAATGTAACGCCACTGATGACAAGTTGTAGCATATATATATATAATTTGGACTTATATGCAATGGCGTCACTAGGGGTGGGGGACACAATGAATCATTCTTTTAACAATCGTCTCTTCTTCTTCAGACCCAGTACCTAACGCGCAAAGGTTTTACCCAGTCTCTTGAAAAGGTCTATTCAACTTCATACCCATACCTACCAGGCGCACATAAGTTGAATTCAGTCTCCGCACCAGCTTCCAATAAGCTGGTGCCCCTATCCTCCACCATGTTCGACACACGGGGGTGATGGCTTGATTTGAACGTAGGAATTAATAAGAATAGATTTAAAAATATTAAATTATATTCTTTATTATCAAAAGTTAACTGGTAGAGATTTATAATAATGATCTTTTTGTATATACAAAAATAAATATATTTTATATTAAATATATATCATATAATATAACGTTAAATTAATATAAAGTAAAAGTTTAATTTGATAGTCTTAAACCTTCATTATCTACAATAAAAAAAAATATATTAACAAAATAAAATCGTTACTATTATATAACAATTCTGATATGAGTTAACATCGTGAGTGTCATAGCTATGACTGCAAATTAATCAGCATCTATTATTTGTGTGGTGATGGTTAAGGTTATTACTACAGCTGCTGAGAGCATATGATTGCATATTATAGATAAGCAATAATGGCCAACTGTGTAATCGTTTATATATCATTAAAAATGGAAGATAATCTTATGGAAATTTAATATCTCACAATAATTTTCTCGATTACTTATCTAGCTTCCACCAAGTCATCTAAGTGGAAGCTCTAACCATCATATAGTTTTATGATTTTTGAGCCCCCTGAGATTGTAAAGGCTAGCGACGCTCCTGCTTTCATGTAATTCTTTATTGCAATCTCATATACAAATAATATTAATCAACTATATCCTATAACAACATTATAATAATACAATCATAAATATTCAATATAAACATCCTCATCCCATTCCATAATCCCCAGCAATCATTCTCGAACTTTCCTCCATCTCCAAAATCATGGTTAATGATGCTTACTACCTTTAAGTATTACCTATCAAATTGTATTTTGTTTATTTTTCATTTGGATAGGCACTACCAAATATATTTATAATATATATTTGATAAATCGTGATTTTTGGAAGTGTGTGGCCTAGTCTGCAAGAGCGTTGCTCACCAACATGATCAATTTATCATCAGACTCATTAGAATCCTAATTACATACATGTTAGAATTCTTATTTTATTTCAATATATGGCTCTTCTGGTAGCGTTACTAGAAGAGGCGGCACAGAGACTACATACATGTTAGAATTCTTATTTTATTTCAATATATGGCTCTTCTGGTAGCGTTACTAGAAGAGGCGGCACAGAGACTCGAGCTCCCTAAGGAAATTTGAACACTGAAGGAAATTATTATTTTTTAGTGGCTTCCTAATAGCCCTTAGGACAAAAAATTTTTTATGATAGCCCACTGAACAATTTTTTTTCTATAATTCTTTATATATAGATTTGACATTATTTCAAAAAATTAATAAGACATTTTAATTATTAGATTGATGCATGTAAATTATATTTTTACTATGTTGGTTGCAATAAAATTATGTGTTAAAAATGTAATATCAATATTGTAGCGTCTTTTTAATAATTATGGAAATATTTGTATTGTATTTTTTGTATTAATAGAATTCTCGGAATTTTATTTTACCCCAAAAATAATAATCGAATTTTTTGTTATTCAAATTCATATGATTATATATAATAATGAAAATAAACATTTTACGAAAAATACAAAAATAACATAACAACAATTCAATACATATCAAATATCACTCATAATGTCAAAATATCAATCAGCATTAGCAATTTAAGCTTAATAGTTTTTTATTTAAATTATTTTATAATTTAATTAAGTATATATAGTCAGTTATTAATTGAAAAAATTATATCCAATTTAATATTGTGATTTGTGTTAGCCAAGTTTAATAAAATCTTATCAACTATTAAATTTAATTTATTATGCCTCTTACTAAGAGCTAAGATTCAAACCAATATACGATTGTTAAAACTCTAAGTATATTTAATTATAACATCTTTTACTCATTTATTTTATACTGTAGATAATGAAGAAAGAAGAGATATTAATTTTGAGATTAATGCTTTAAATAATGGAAATGGACGCAATATTGATATTGTTCATATTTTCGACAAAAGAACAGGCAATGAAAGAGTTGGAGGTGAAAAAATTACATTTAAAATACATTTTTTAAATTTCAAACCATGCTTTAGATGATAAAAGAATATTAATTTTAGTTCCGAGAGATATAAATATAAGCAAAAATGTTAAGAGAAAGAAAATAGAAACATAATTTTTATATAAAATATTATTTGTAAAACAATAGAAGCTATATGTGAGGTTCAATCTGAACATATCTCTTATGGTATTTAATTTTTTAATATAATTATAGATAAAATTAAATACTGATAAGGATGCTTCTGACAAGCCTTAGGTAGCAGCAATCCATATAAAGATATATTGGATAATGAAGGAGTTTTAGTTGAAAAAAGTTAGTGTTGTAAACGAACGCGTTCAAAATGAACGCGTTCGTGAACGAAGTTCGTTTTTTTGAAAAAAGGTGATGAACGGCGTTCCTTTTTTTTTGACGAACTTTGAACGTGAACGCGTTCCTTTTCTTTGATGAACGCGTTC